CAGGGTATTTTAAATGGTGGTATTCTAACACTTTTCATGCACTGAATTAACCGATAGCCTTTGTCAAACTTTTGGGTACTAATATATTTTGTTTGTTTCACACACATTGTACTTTAGGTATGAATTAACAGAACCTGTTATGTGTCACTGCCAAACAACACCCCAATATGTGTTCAGCAACATCTTCATAGTACAGTGATATAACCCATTCATAGGCTTGTTGGGTTGCTTGGAGGCTAAAAGGCCTCATTTGGCGGGTGCGCATATCCATTTTCCAACTTGGAATTTTGACATGTAGTCAACCTGCGCCCATGTCCTATTTGGGCCAATGTATTTTACCCCCATCAGACCATATATTTTAAAAAGAAGACAACCCAGGAAATTAAAATGGTGGTATTTAAACACTTTTCATGCACTGAATTCTACCACCAGCCTTTGTCAAACTTTTGGGTAGTATTTTTTTTTTGTTTTTCTTTCACGCTCATTGTAATTTAGGCATGAATTAACAGATCCTTTTATGTATCACTGACAAACAACACCCCAATATGTGTTCGGCAACATCTCCTGAGTATAGTGATATCATCCATGCATAGGTTTGATGGGTAGTTTGGGGGCTAAAAGGCCACGATCGAGACTTGTACATGTCAGTTTTTCAACTTGATATATAGGTATGCTTGGCCTATCTTCAGTTTGGCATATTTTTGCATCCCCCAGTTGATGTTACTATCATGAATGTATATATTTTTATAAAGTAGATATGCCAATGTATTGTATATGGGGTGTTTTAACATACTTCCCCCAACCATTGTGCTAAACAAATTTCAGAGAACGTGCATGGTGGTAATTTTCAAATTCTGTTTTTTTATTTTAGCCAGCTGGTTATATGTTGCTGCCAGAAAACACCCCAGTTTGTTTTCTGCAAAGTCCCCTGAGTACACCAATCTCCATAAATGATTGTGGAAATCAGCTTGAGCTGAAATTGGAGAAAGGTGGTTTTTGAAGGATTCATTTTTTTTAAAGTAAAAATTAATTGTGGGCTGTTACTTGTATCAGATAGCCACTTTTTTATACCACACTTTTGTCTTTCTTAAGATAAGATAAGGCTGCATCAGCTGATCATCCAAATCAACACCCCCCATGTGCCTTTTATAAGCACTAATGCAAACAGTTTTGGTCTGTACTCTGCCTCGGACAGTGACGTCAGCCATGCTTTCATCATGGATGGTGGTTAGCATGTTAACATCCTTCCTGTCCCTACATTTTATTGCAAACACTTCAGCTTTGTGCAGAGCTTTACATTCACCTTTTTTAATTTGGCCTCTATGAGAGGTCTGGGGAAATCCTTGGAATTTCTTCTCACAGTGCAGCAGGCCAGTATCTGCAAACCATAAAGAATATTAAACAAGTGGACACTGCTATAAAAATTGTGAACAAAGGGATCAGTAGGTCCAAAACAAGTTTTCCACTTGTCCCCAGAGAGACAGGACAGCCAGGAGGGTCCAGTTGACCATCTTTCCCCTCATATACACGAAAGGCAAATGTGTAGCCATTTTTGCACTCGCACAGTTTGTACACTTTTACGCCCTACCTAGAGCGCTTTGAGGGGATGTATTCTTTGAATCCTAATCTCCCTTTATATTTCATTAGGGATTCATCAATGGATACGTTTTGTTGGGGAGTATAAACTTCAGAAAATTTGTGCTGAAGATGGTCTACCAGTGGGTGTATTTTATGAAGCCTATCATATTGGGGGTGATCTCTGGGGTGACAGAAGGTATTATCATTAAAATGTAAATATCTCAGCAGCAACTCATATCTTGCTCTAGACATGGTTTGGGAGTACACAGGGCTAGAACAGATAGGGTTGGTGCTCCAGTAAGAGCGAATTGCTGGCTTCTTTATAATCCCCATGAGCATTGTAAGAGCCCAGCATGTTTTACGTTCAGGGACATCTTTGGGATGCCAAGCATGCTCACTGACTGCATAGCTACCTGGATTGGTATCAGTAAATTGGGTAGCATATAAATTAGTCTGGGAAACAATCTCCTCTCAGATGGTATCCCCTAAAAATAGCTCCATATATTGCATAGGGGAGAAGTTATCCACATTGACATTAATGCCTGCGTTGGCACTAAAAGGGGAGATGTTTGGCTCAGCAAACTGTGGAGGTACCCAGTCCTCGTCTACATTTGACATAGCAGGCAAAGCACAGCTTTTTGCAGCCGGCTCACACACAGATGACATTGCACAAGACATGTCGGAAAACTGACCAGGGTCAAAATCGGACGCAGTGTCAGTGGCATCAGAGTCTGACGCCAAGAAGGCACATGCCACCTCCAAGCTGTACATGCACTGTATGTTTCACACTGACTGACTAAATAAACAAAATGCAATTTTTAAAAAAAATTTTTTTACTAAAACTGATTAAAACAGATTAAAACAGACTAAATCAGCAATCCCTAAACTAACTCCTATTAAAATAATCTAATGGAGATTCGGGGGAAGGAAACTGACTGACTAAAACAGACTAAAACAGACTAAAACACAGATTCTTAACACAAATTTAACCCTTAAGGGCAAAAAGAATTAAAAATACAGACAATACAAATGTACTGCTGTAACAGATTTGGCAGGGAAGGGGTTAAAAATGATTTTTAAAAGTCTCTGGAACAGTTCTGGCAACACTGCTAGCAACAAACTATCATGATCTCTGTCTCTTTCCCTCACAAAATGCTACAGAGGAGAGAGGAGAAGAGATCACGGTCAAAGTGAGTGTTTGTAACACTCACTTTGACAGCAGCCAATTGTGAGCGATCGTGTGTTGCTCACATGTCATAATTGGCTGTTACCAGGGCTGCCATCGGAAATGTTGGGGCCCCTGACAAAGCTCATGGTCTGGGCCCCCAGAGACCACCTATGAGTCCGCCCACAGAACCCGCCCCTAAATCAGTCCACAAAGATGCAGTGTGTAGTCAATGCACAGTGTGTGTTTAGTGGATGCAGTGTGTGTAAAGTGGCCAAAATGTAGATCAGCATCTGTTGTACAAGTCCCAGAATGCTTTGCTAGCCGTGGATCTACAATTTGCCCATTCTTGCCGGGCTTTATTTAGCACTCAGCAGTGTATGTGTGTTTAAATGTAAGCATGTTTTTGTAAAGAGTATGTGTGTATGTGAATTTTGGTGTTTGAATGCAGGCGTGCATTTGTGTGTAGTGTATACACACGCATACATACATTGACATACATGCAAACACACAGTTACACACACACACAGAAACACACATTGACACATATTTACACACACACTAAAGGTGCACACTGACACAGATAGAAACACACACACAGATACACAAACACACACAGATGCCAACCGACAAAGATACATACACTGACACACATACATGCACATACATATGAGATCCAGACACTGACATACATGTAAATATACAGACACACACACAGATACACACTCATTTGCAAACTGGCACACATATACATACAGACACAGACATACACTGACACTCTGATACAGACAGACACACATATACACATGCACTCAGATGCACATTGACACAGATACATACAGCTACACACACACATATATACTCATACACACAGATACACATAAAACCAAAATATAAATAAAATATATGGTTTAAAAAGTAGAGAAACAATAAAGTATATGGGATTTACACCAAATAAAATCAACTTTAGTTGAGTATCTCTTAAAACAAAGATAGTGTGAGTGCTCCAGCAATAAAAAAAAAATAACGAAGCTCCCCGTACTCCCACCGAGTACCCTCTGTTGATGGACGCTTTCTGGCTTGCGCTGAGGACCACAACCACCACAGACTCCGCAACCGTTGTAGCTTGCCCAGAGTCTCACTGTCCTCCTTCCACCCTGGATCAGCTTCTGTCTTCCAGGACCGTGTGGGAAAGACCTCTTCCTTCCACCCTGTATGAACCTCCAGCATCCAGGACTGTGCGGGGAAGACCCCTCCTCCAAGGAGAGCGTGTCAGGAACAAGCTTTTAAAAGAGCTAAGTGATTCAAGCTCAGGGGAGCATGCAGAGCATAGCAATCCCCAGTGTGATTATAACAACTCCCTCCAATAACAAGACAAGGCTACATTTAGAGGGATCAATAAGAACTGTCTAAACCTTTACTTCCCTTGGGACCAGCCCATAGGATCACCACATTAAAATTGCTGTGAAAACTCAATAAAATCACAAACAGTCAAACCATAGCAGGCAACACACAGTGACTTATCACAACACAATGGCATTTTTAAAGGGGTAGGGGAGACAATATTTAACAGAAAATATCTCACTTGCATGCAGAATTAGCAATATGCAAATCTACCCGAATACGCAAATGAACCAGTCTTGCTATTCAGGTAGTGCATATTGCTGTTGCTACCAACAGAGGGCACTAGACAAGCTCCATAGCCAAACCTCAGCAGTACAGGAGAGCAGGCAATACATTACACAGTACACACACACACTATAAACAATTACATTACACACACCCTGCACCTATAATGGGTACAGGGTGACTAAAACATAAGAGAAATAAAGCAACCTACATAAATAGTCTGTCTGAAGGTAGAATAGGGGCTTTAAAGCCAAATACATCAAAGAGTCTTATTCACAGGGGAGGAGGCTGGCAAGCAGGCCTCTCCAGGACCAAGTGGCGAAGGGCACTTCGTCACACACATAATAAAATATCAGATAGAGTGTGCAAGATAAAAAGGTACACAATGTGACTGATAATTGTTGCATTCTGTATGTAAAGTTCAAAAAGTAGTCAGCACCAAATAGAAAAGATTCACATTGCAACAAAGTTACCAAAACAAACAGTAACACTCTAAACAAAACAGTTAAATAGAGCCTAACTAAAACAAAAAATTGGGCATATCAACTAAATAGTGAAAAGGATTGTGGGGGGAAAAAGTGTACAAAAAAATCAAATACACAGTCACTAGAAAGCATGAACATAAAAGCACTGCTATAAAATAATGAAATATAATAAAACAAAAGACTACAGGTCTATGTAAAAAAAACAATAACATACACTCAAGTGCACACTGACACCCAGATACAAACAAACACAAAGATACACACACTGATAGATACAGAGACATAAACACAGATACACACATGCACTCAGGTGCACACTGACACCCAGATACAAACAAACACAGAGATACACACACTGATAGATACACAGACACACACACAGATACACACACTTATAGATACACAGACACACACAGATACACACACTGATAGATACACAGACATAAACACAGATACACACACTGATAGATACACAGACATAAACACAGATACACACACAGATAGATACACAGACACAAACACAGATACACACACAGATAGATACACAGACACAAACACAGATACACACACTGATAAATACACAGACACAAACACAGATAGATACACAGACACAAACACAGATACAAACATAGATAGATACACAGATACACACACTGATAGATACACAGACACACACAGATACACACACTGATAGATACACAGACACAAACACAGATACACACACTGATAGATACACAGACACAAACACAGATACACACAAGTGCACACTGACACCCAGATACAAACAAACACAAAGATACACGCACTGATGGATACACAGACACAAACACAGATACACACATACACTCAGGTGCACACTGACACACATATACAAACACACACACTGACAGATACACACAAACACTCTGGTACACATAGATACATACACACTGACACATTTTTTTAAACCACCCTCCTGTTTCTTACCTTTTGGCTGCAGGAGGGTGGACTCTGCTGGCTGGGGCTGATGGGAGTCTGGCTCTCTCTCCTCCTCTCACTCCCCAGTGCTTCCTCCCGCGCGGGTGTTAGCTGGGAGGAAGTGAGCTCACTTCCTCCCAGCACTGCCAGGATCCTAAAAGGGGCCCAGTCTAGCTATTGGAAATCCACAGCACTGATTGGGCCCCTTTAGAGATATGCCCATCGGGTGGCCTAAGTGCATGGACCACCCGATGGGCCCCCTAAGGTAGTTCTGCCACTGCCAAAACACATATATATAGCAATACTTGCTATATATATGGGTGTGCACATTGGGAATAGGGGCCTTGGTGCATGGGCCACCCAGGACTGCAGGGCCCATGACAACAGTCATGGTTGTTACCCCCTGATGGCGGCCCTGGCTGTTACTATCTGTCTGGGATGCCTGGCAGAGTAGTAACAGCGGAATTTCCGCGGAAGCGATCTCTGATCTCTGTTTTTTTATATTGATATATTTGCTGGCACTAATTCTCTGGAACTGTCTTGGGCATGGGACCATGTGCACGGTCGGTCAAAAATAAGAATTCCAGGAAATTTCTGAACCCCTGAACTGATCTGGGTGATTTGTGGATATGTTGGTCTCCCAGATCAGGGCTTTCAGGGGATGTAACATTTGTGGGGTTATTAAGTGTTTTGGGATACTTTTGGGACATTTCAGAAATTTGTGTTTGGAGATAATTGAGTGTAGTATAGTGCTTGACTCAATTATCTCCTAAGTAAATGGGAAGGCTTATTGTATTGTGGGAGTGTCGTACATTTAATTACTGTTCTGATTGGTTTGTAAGCTTTGTGTCTCTGTCCCGAACAAGGTTCATGTAGGCGTACACCTTTCTTGGGGACTTGCATAAAAGGCCAGTTGTGGCTTCTATTAAACAGAATGCTTTACCCCTTTATGAAGTCTTGGCTCATGTTTTGGGGATTGGAGAACTACATACACTCTGGGGATTGCTATATCACCATACTCCCTTGAGTATAATCACAAGAGCTGTTCCTGCTACACTCTCTAGACTAGGAGAGGTCTATCCACTGGAAGCTGGATCCTAGTCTTGGGTCCAGGGTGGGTGGAGGACGGAAAGAGCCCAACCAAGCTGCGGCGGATCATGGGGTTTACCGTGGTTATGGTGTCTGCTTATGGTACTCAAGGATTACTAGGAAGCAGCGATTGACGGAGGTACCCGGTCGTGGTGCAGGCGGTCCATCACAGACACTTTGTAGCAGAGCTATCAATTACGTACTTGAAAATTTAGCACACCCACTGCCCCAAATTGCTGTCCAGTGGCGTACTAAGGCTGCAGCCGCCCGAGCGCTCTGTAGTGAGCCTCAGGCGGCTGCAGCTTTGCCCGGGCGGTGCGTCCATGAGGGCGGACCGCACCGCCCGGGCGCAGCATGGGGAGAGGGGCTGACAGGAGGGAAGCGCTCAGCGTTCAGCGCTCCCTCCTGTCACTCCCTCTGTAGTAGCGTGGCCGAGCCCGGCAGCTTTGATAGTCCGACGGGGACAGGAGACAGCTGATCTCTGTACCCGCGGACTATACTGGGCTCGGCCATGCTACAGCAAAGGTGGGGGGGGGTGAGAGAGAAAGAAGGGGGGTGGAGGAAAAGGAGGGGGTGAAAGAGGAGAAAGGGGTGAAAAGAGAGGGGTGAAAAGGAGAGAAAGGGGGGTGAGAGAGGGGTGAAAGAGGAGAAAGGGGGGGAAAAGGAGGGGGGGTGGAAAGAGGAGAGAGGGGTGAAAAGGAGAAAGGGGGTGAGAGGAGGGGGTGAAAGAGGAGAGAGGGGGGGTGAAAAGGAGAGGGGGTGAAAGAGGAGAAAGGGGGTGAAAAAAGAGGAGAGAGGGGGGGGTGAAAAGGAGAAAGGGGGTGAGAAAGGAGGTGAGAAAGAGGAGAAAGGGGTGAGAAAGGGGGAAAGAGAAAGGAGGGGGGGAGAGAAAGGAGGGGGAGAGAAAGAGAAAGGAGAGGGGGGGTGAGAGAGAAATTAGGATGGGGAAGAGAAATTAGGAGGGAGGGAGAGATATTAGGAGGGGGGAAAGAGAAATTAGGGGGGGAGAGAAATAGAAATTAGGAGGGAGGGAGAGAAATTGAAATTAGGAGGGGGAGAGAAATTGAAATTAGGAGGGGGGAGAGAAATTAGGAGGGGGGAAAGAGAAATTAGGAGGGGGGGTGAGAAAGAGAAATTGGGAGGAGGAGAAGGAAATTGGAGCGGGAGGAGAGATTGACATTCATCACATACACACAATGCACCCCTTGCACACAGAAAAACACACAATGCATTACACACACAGACACACATACACAAGCAATGCAACCGTTACACACAATGCATCCCTTACACACACAGAAACACACAATGCATTCATTACACACACTCAATGCACCCCTTACACACATTCAATGCATCCCATACATACACAGAAACACACCTTGCAGCCCTTACACATACAAACACAATTTCACACAATGCATTCCTTACACACATATCAGGACATCCCCTACACACTCCACCCCCTGTGAACAAACTCATTGGTGGAACATGAAGGTGGACCCTGGGACCCAGACCTTGAGCTGTGTAAAGGACCCCCAAAAAATGGAGCTGCTTCCCGTTCTCCCAGAACATTGATTTTTGTGACCACAGTTACAAACCGCCTCCAGAGAGCCTGTTCTGCACCAGACCAGTGGAGCCAGACTGCAGCTAGAGCCCATCATCATCCTCATCTGGTTGTAAGTAGGCAATCTAGTATATTATTCGTGGCACTAAGCTCTAATTTACCTCACATTAAAGAAACACTATAGTCCCCAGAACCACTTCAGCTTAATGTAGTGGTTCTGGTGTCTATAGCCTGTCCCTGCAGGCCTTTTAATGTAAACACGGCGGCACTGCAGCACTGGCGTTAGTTAACATGGCAAATCATATGGGTGGGGCATTGTGATGTCACATGGGGGCGGCAAACTTTACTTTTGCCTAGGGCGGCAAAAATCCTTGCACCGGCCCTGGCTGGAGGGGGCTGTGTGAGCTGTGGCCGCACAGTGTCCCATGGTAGTTAGGGTGCCGTGCGGCCAGTACAGCTCACACAAGCAAACAGCTGATAAACTGGCCGCACGGAGTAAATGTGTATGTGTGACTGTCTGCCTGTGACTGTATGTGACTGTCTGCCTGTAAATGTGTGTGTGGGGCTGCAGGGATTTTGTAGAAGGGGGCGGGGGTTTTGTATTGGGACAGGAGTCTTTACAAATTGTAATTTATTTTTTTTGGGGGGGGGGTGCCAAGCACAGGATCCGCCCCGGGTGCCAAATGCTCTAGGTACGCTCCTGTTGCTGTCCACTCTGTCCAACCCACATAATTAATCTCTGCCTACTTATCATGCAGATTATAGGGTCTACTCAATAAAGAATGAATTACAGGGAATTGAGATGAAAATTTACATTGTGTGTATCGGTGTTTAAGGGATGCATTGTGTGTTTCTGTGTATGTATTCAAGGGTTGCATTGTTTTTGTGTGTGTATGTGTAGGGATGCATTGAATGTTTCTTTGTGTCTTGGTGTGAGTAGGGATGCATTGCATATTTCTGTGCGTGTTTGGATCTGTGTGTGTAGGGATGCACTATATGTTTATGTGTGTGTGTAGGGATGCATTGTGTGTTTTTGGGTAAGTGTGTGACAATGTAGGGATGCATTGTGTATTTCTGTGTGTGTGTGTGTGTGTGTAGGAATGCATTGTGTGTTTCTTTGTATGTGTGTGTAGGGATGCATTGTGTGTTTCTGTGCATGTGTAGGGATGCATTGTGTGTAGTGTGAAAGATAGAGTTTGTGTGGTAAGATAAGGGCTGAGTCTTGCTGGGGATCAGAGGAGGGCAACTCTTTTTATTTTTATTATATTTACTTTGTTAATATAATTTTTTATTTTTTTTTAGGTTTTGTGTCTTACACCCCCCTTTAGTGTATCTCTTCCAAGCCCCCTGTGTGTCTCTTTGTATGTCTCCTACATCCTCATATCCTCTTTGCATGTCTTACTCCCCCAGACCCTTTGTGCTTCTCTTTTGCCCCTTCCTCAGCCTCTCTGTGTGTCTCTTCCACTCCCCCTCTCCCTTAATGATCTTTTTCACTCCCCCTGTCCCTTAGTGGTCTCCTATACTCTCTCTGTCCCTTATTGTACTCCCCTCCTCAGGAGTGCCATCCCTAATAAATAGTGGGGTTGTAGAAATCCACCTCACTTCTTTGAAAAACATGAACCAGAAGTAAGCAGGAATCAGGTAGTATAAACAACTTATTGAAGAGAAATAAATAAAAACAGCGGTCCTACGCATTTCGTTTTAAACATAGAACTTCCTCAGGGGCCTCTTCAATTTTAAAACAATATCATATGAAATGCAGTTAAAAATTCCGCCTAATTCCCATCCTCCAAAAGTTCCCAATATATAGGGCTCCTCTTCTCCATTATTGGTGGTGTAGTGGGTGTGTTTCTAATTCACTCCACGATTTGTGCTGTCATAATACCGATCAGCTGCTTCAGACGATCCATTCCATTCAGCTGTTCACCCTTCACAATCACGGTAGTGACGTGTGCGTTTCACGGAACACTTCTGTGCGTTCCAGGGACGTCATTTCCTCTATGTGTTCAGCTACTGGCTGCACATGCGTATTGAAGATTTTTTCATTCTCAGCCGTATAACGGTACTTTAAAAGTCCTCTTATAGGAAAATTAAATAATGTAAATGGTGAAGGAACCACTACAAGAAGAAACATTTATTAGAACTCATATTCCTTATTGGTCATGTATATGTCAATTAAATAAGAAATAACTTAACTGTAAATTAACTCAATCCTTAGATAGAATTAGGATTTATATGAGTGCAAACAAAAATATTAAAATATACAAATTCTAAAAAAAAATATCAAAATCTAAAAACATAATAAAAAATTATAAACAGTGGGAACTCGGTTTACGAATTTAATGCGTTCTCCGTGACATTTGTTATTGTGAAACATTTGTAAACAGAAACGCGGTTTCCCATGGGAATGCAATGAAAACCAATTAATCCGTTCTGGAGGACAGAAAATAGTCAA